GAGAGAGAGAGAGAGAGAGAGAGAGAGAGAGAGAGAGAGAGAGAGAGAGAGAGAGAGAGAGAGAGAGAGAGAGAGAGAGAGAGAGAGATTTGGACGGCCCTGAACAGTACACCTGTGTAACTCTTGGAAAACGATCCGAGTTCAAGTCCTGCTGGGATCAGAAATATTTAAAAAAAAAACTCTGAATTACCCTGGGCGGGTCGCTTCGAAGATGATGCCTAAATGCCGTCACTCTTCTTACGGTTTGAAGAGAGAGAAAACACTGGTACACAGGCCAACGGCTTATCCAATAGGGCAGAGTGAACCCCATTTCCAATGAGCCAACATTATTGCAGATCTCATCGCATGGGGATTCGAACGCATGATCTGTGCACTAACACTTAAGGTCTTCAGACTCTTCACCAATGAGCCACACAGGGAACGCCACATAGTACCGCACCCAGCACACGTAACATCACACCCAGCACACATAGCACCACAGCCCTATCGGAGATAGCACCCAGGTCACTGACTGCCCATAACACTCGGTGCACATAGCACCACCTATTGCACCCAGCCCACACACTGCCACCCTCTGCACATTGCACCTGGTCCACAAAGCACTTCCCCCCTGCACATACCACCCAGGCGACGAAGTACCCGCCGACCGCACACAGCACCAAGTACACATAGCAGCCAGCCTGTACAGTAGCAGCCTTTGCACATAGTACCAGCCAGGGCACATAGCAGCACGACCCCTTTACATAGCATCTTAGCGCTAAGTACCAGCCTGTTCTTCTGTAAGTGCATAGTACTGCATAGCGCATAGCATCAAGTACACATAGCAGCTTGACTGTACAGTGCCGTAGCAGCCACTGCAACAGAGTACCAGCCAGGGTACACAGCAGCACAACCGCTCTACATAGCATCTTAGCTGTATTTAGCAGATGGCTCTGTGTACCAGTCAGTTCTACATAGCAAGTGCATAGTGCTGCATAGCACATAGCACCAAGTACACATAGCAGACAGCCTGTGCACTGCAGTAGCAGCCACTGCACAGTACCAGCCAGGGCACATCGCAGCCCTATCTGCCCTCTGGATAGCATCTTAACTCTATATAACAGACGTCTCAACGTACCAGATTGACTATCTGTGTTCTTGCTTTTTTTAACATTTTTTGTGCAGGGGTCCACTGTCATTGATTCCTTAGGATCGAAGGGAAGCTTTAAGAGCGGGGTGGCAGGGAGGGACGCCTGAATCTGGACGTGTTATGCAGAGATGCAGAAAAGCCGATCAATCGCAATTTTATGCACCTGTCTGCAAACACGTCCACATTCGGCCGCTAAATCCAATCCTTTGTGTGAGTGGAACTGTGCCCCTGGGGCTCTGTGGCTCCCTGTGCTGACTTTCTCCTACGCACGCAGAGCCATCGCAGTCTTGAAGAAGAAGAAGAAGAAGAAGAAGAAGCTAAAAAAGAAGAAAAACAAGAAAAACAAGAAAAAAGAAGTAGAAATGGTTGTCCTTCACGACATCTGTTAAAATTGGAATGATACAGAGAAGATTAGCATGGCCCCTGCGCAAGGATGACACGCATATATCGAGAAAAAAAAAAAAGAAAAAAAAAAGGGGTAACTACGTTTATGTCACCCAAAAAAAAACACGCATCGGCAAAGAAAACGGCGCCAAGTTCGAAAAGGCAACGGGAGTACCGACGGCCGTGGGATGTCAGACCGAGTATCATATTTATTTACAGGGGTCTGCCGTGGGGTGTCAGAGGGGAAAACAAAAAAGAAACAAAAAAAAAAAAGAAAATGCCCAACGGATACTTGTGGACCGAAATCGCTCATTTCGAGTTGGCGCGTGGTTTCTTTGCCGACACGGAGTTTTTTTTGCCTTTAGGGTTTCAAAACATGCCGCGTCCGCCGTTATTTAAAAAAAAAAAAAAAAAGTAGAAATGGTTTCTCAGAAGTTTCTCTGCATGCGATTTTTATACAGACAAGGTTCGGTCTTTAGGGCCTCGTTCGACACCACTAAAGAATACTTATTTTGTAATGGCACCCTTATCCGGGGATGGTGATTAGTTTCCCCTTAAGGGCGTCGTTAGACACTCCTCGGGGACTTGATTCCAAGGATGTCGTCTTCGTTCCACCTGTCCTCGGAGATGAAATCGGAAATGAAAATGCGAAAACACTTCGACGACAAATCCTTGGGCTCCGAGGATTTCCCAGCAAAATCGTCCTCGGCTCCAAAGGACCTCGCGAGGTCCTTTGGGGCCCGAGGATTCGTGTTTCACGGAGAGGAGAGGGCATGCACGTAGAGAGACGTTACAACCGAGAATTTGGATCGTGGCGGCACCCTATTGGCTGAAAGCCTGAAGCACAACTTTTTTTCTTTTTTTTTTTCCTTTCGTTTTTCTGACATTGCTCCGAGGACGAGTCCTAAAACCGATGCTCCGAGGATGAGTGTAACGAGGACGACAAAAACCCTAAACTTTTCCGAGTATTCATCCTCGGAGCCCGATAATGCCCTGAGGAGTGTCTAACGACGCCCTAACTCAGAAACCCTACGCTTAGGCACCCTTACAGTTCAGGTGGCAATTTTTTCCCTCTGGACAGTCACAGCTTGCCCCGATTGGACCCAGGAACGACAGCAAAACACCTGAAAGCAAAAAAAAAAAAAAAAAAAAAAAAAATCCCGTTTTTCCTGATGCTGTAAGGGTGCGGCCTGTCATTTT